AAGGAAAAGTTCAAAAAGTTGAGTTTCTGTGCCTGACGCACAAGACACCCTTGTGTCTCATCTGCACATTTTTTCTTAGGTAAACTCATACTTTTATGGTCTTAAAGATCAAAGAGGTAAATATAATCCTGCCTGGCCAGCAAACCCAGGTAAAACTATGCTAACAATTCTAAAGACATCTTCATTTTAGTTTTACCAAATGTAAAACCAGCTTGTTTAACAAAGATGTACTTAAGTCATGTGAATCAAAAATCGTGTGGGTTAGTTATCATCTTGGCCACTTCCTCATCGTGGGGCATAGTACCAGACACCCAGAATCTGAGGGATGAGGGGCTATTTTGGCTCGTGTTTCTGAGGGTCCAGTCCATGTTCAGCAGGCTTAGGCAGAAAAGCAGTGTGGGAGGAGGGACCAGGGTAGGGGAAAGTGGCTCACATCAGGGTGGCCAGTAAGCAGAGAGAGACGGGATGAGCTGGAGAGGGAGGTACTTCCTTCTAGCCCACACCCCAGGGATTCAGTTCCTCTGACCAGACCCCACCTTCTAACAGCAAGTCAGCTTTATCACCTCCAAGGTTCAGTCACCTTCCGAAAGCCCCACCTGTGAGTATATGAGATTTTGTGGCACACTCTTTATCTGAACCAAAACATTCTGCTCCTGGCCCCAAGGACTCATATATATCCAAGAGTTTCAAAAGTTCTAACAATTTCAGCATTGCTGAAAAGTCCAAGTCCAACATTTCTCCTGAGACTCAAGGAAAACTCTTAGCTGTGAGCCCCTGTAAAAATAAAAAAGAAAGTTAAATACTTATGACGTACGATGGGCTGTAAATAGTTTCATTGCAAAAGAGAGAAATTAGTGGATAGAAAGAAATCAGTCTAAATCCAGACTTAAACCCTGCAGAGCCAACATTAAATCCTGTTTTTCCATGTCCAGCACCTTGGGCAAGTTGTGGGAAGACGTGAACTCTGAAGATGACAGACTTTGCTTTGAGAAGAGGACCCCCACTACACCTCTGGCACAATGCCAGAGAAAGGCTGCCTAGGAAATCGGTTCCCTGGGATTCACTTCACAGCTTTCAGCCATCCAGGCACTCAGATAATTCAAGGGGCTTTGGCTACTGTTCTAGCTGGCATCAGACCTTGGCATTATTCACATAATGCTGGTTTTATAGGCACACAGCATGCAAGAGTTGCAGAGTCAGGGAGGCCTCCGCCCAGATTTCAAAAGGTTTAGGCCAGGCAGTGTGCCCCTGAGAGTGCAGTGTGTGAAGCTGTGCGTGATGCTGAGAGTACAGTGGAGATCACAGGAAGCTGTAAAAGCCAGGGATGTGGAAAGTGTGCTGAGGAAAGCTGCAAGCAGTGTGCACATCCATCCCAAGGGAGAAGCCGTAACAGAAAGTGACAATGCCTCTGACAAAGTGTTTAAGTCACCTGTCAAACAATTAAACTTCAAGGTTTTCATTTGCCCTTGGTGGATAACGGTGGGTAGTCTTAAGACTGTGGACCAGATTTTTTGGGTAAGGCAGTACTCAAAGCAGCTTTGTTTTTTAAAAAAGCCTCTTTTACCCTTTCCCCTCCTTTTTTCAGTCTCAAACCAGGAAACACTTGCCAGATGTTTGTGCTTTAGCCAGTACCCACTGGCATAACAACTCTCTAAACAACTCTGAGTTTAACAACAAAATTGTCTTTTGTTTTTGTCTGCCAATACAGTTCGTTTGACTAATCAACATAGGCAGGAAATATGTTAGAAATGATTTTTAAAATGTTATTTGCTGTTTTTCATTTTTGTTTTTCTGGTCCATGTGACAGACAAAGCAATTTTTGTGCTGGACAGAGATCTTTTATTATTGCTCTGAGCCCAAGGTTTTGACTTAGGCATAGGGTGGCTGAAAAAGGCAGAACTGTTTTATCAGACTAGACCACTGTTCTCCAGGCAAACTGAATTTTCATCTCCAGAAGAGCTGTCTCTATGTCTGTGTTGCCATGGAGCTCTGTAAATTGCAATGCCATTAATTTGAAGTTGTTTTTCTTTTCCTTACCTTGGCTAAGATGTCATAGGAGAGACTTTTACCAGGCTTTGCCCTATTTTTGTTTCAATCTGTCTTTAATTATAATATAAGGAAAACGTCAACAGATCCAAAATAGGTGAGAAAACAGTAACAACAACAGCTACAACACAGTGAAGGAATCTGTAGCCTATGCATGTTAACCGTGGGCTGCAGTTTAAGGAGGATCCTTTCCCACTGATTTAACATTAAACACCAACAACTGCGTATGAGGAAGGACCATCACACTGATGCTGGAGTTCTGGGGTGATCTTCATGGGATGCCTTAAAATCTGGGATCCCACTTTGCTTCTGATCCATCTCCCAAGCCTAGAGAAAACCCTACAATTCCTGTCAGGGAATTTTAAGGATTTAGGCAAAGTATTTTGCTTTGATCAATGCCTGTAGCCCAGGATTTTATTTGTTTTAGTTGACAGATGTCCTTTGTCCAAGTTGGTATCACCTGTGACTGGGTTTCTAGTTGCATGGAAGTTGTCTTGTGGCGAACTTGCCTGCCTGTCATCAGGAGGCTTTCACAAACAGAGACGAGGGGTTCTCACGGCTAGGGGCAGCCATGCTTGTGGCTTTTCACTGGCCGTACTGTGGTTATTTTCTTCTTAATAACCATCTGGAATGGTTATTTTCACTCCCACAAGATTATCAGAAACATGTAGGGAGGAGAAAAGTTAAAGAGTCAAATCATTCGTAGCTTTTTTTTTTTTTTTTTTGTTTTTTGTTTTTTAAGCTGGGGGAGCAGAGTGCCAGTCTTGTTATATTGCCCACACTGCACTCCCACTTGTGGACTCAAGTGATCCCCTCACCTCAGCCTCCCAAGTAGCTGGACTCTAGGCATGGCCACTATGCCTGGCTCAAGGAATCAAATCACTGAACCAATGAACCAAAATAAGGTACTGTCAAGAACTTCGAAATTAGGCATGCCTAGTAAACAAAATATTAAGCTATATGTCCAGAACCAAAAGAGAATTCCGGAGAAGCTCCTCAAGGTCCTTGCAGAATATGACTTCTGTGGAAATCTGGGTGCTTACCATGTCCTCATACTAGGAAGTACTTGCCCTCATTGTCTAGGCAGTGCAAGGGCCTTTATCTAAGAAGGCCTTATACAAACCAGGCCCCAAGGTCAGCAGGGAGCCTCTTCCCAAGGGAGGGCATTACACCTGACAAGGGGCCAGGGCAGGAGGACCTAAATGGGTGGGCATCAGTCTCATTTCCCAGAGCCCCTTGCTGCGGTCCTGCCTCTCAGAAATGGTGGTGACTTTAGGTCAGGGGGCCTAGGCTGCCCAAGGATATTTCACAGACACAGCATGGTGGGGCTGGCGGGAGCCCTCGGAGACAGCTGGTGCCAGGTAGGGGTCACACTGGGCCCAGAAGGCTCAGGAAGATGGAGTTGGTAGGGGTTACTTGGTCCTGTGAGGCTGGGGAGTATGATGCGGAGCTGCAGCCCGTGGGGCCTGAGGACACTGAGGGTCAGTGGCACTGCTGCTGTGTTGTGCCCAGGACTCTTCTGCATCTGGAGGTGATGACCTGTGGGTGCCCTTGGTGCTTCATAGCCCTCCCAGCATGGCTGTTGTCAGCAGGTCCCTCCCTTGTCCTGAACCCTGTCAGAGGAAGCCTTACTCTCTGGGCTACATGCTGCTCTTTGGATGCTGTGTCCTCCCTGCAACTCCAGGCCTGGCTCTGGGTTTACACCCACTAGAGCTCAATGACCTACTGAGGCAGCATGGAAAGCTGTGCTGCAGCCTGGCGGGGGTAGGGGCTCGGCCTGTACCCACACAGTGGGCCCTGGGGCAGGGCAGCTGCCTGCAGCTAACACCCACAGTGACAGGAGAGTCCCCTCCCTGCTCAGCCTTGCACTGTCCCTGCTGGTTGTGTCTGCGCCCAGGGGGAATGGTTGAGCTCACCCTGCATCCCTACAGAGCACCTCCAAGATGAGATGTTGGCACGGGCCTCAAGGAACCTCCAGGTGAGATCCCACATGGTGCTCCCATGGGAAGATTTCCCAGCCCAGGCAGTAGCTGACACTGAGGAGTCCTGGGGCAGATGAGAGAGTGGATGCATGCGGAAATGGTGTGGGCTCAAAGCTGGGGACTGTCACCCTGTATGACTTTATGCAACTGGCACTACAGGTGACCCTCCGAGAGGGGACAGGCTGCAGTCTTTCTCTCACCCTGTCAGGAGTCTAGGACACCGGAGGTGCAGACTGGAGACACTGCTAGAACAGACAGATCCCTGAGTGCCCCTGTCTAGTTCTAAGCAGAGGCCCCTCTGGTTCATGATTGTGCCTCACAATGAACTGATGGGGCCAAAGACACTCAGGTCCAAAGGGTGTGGGGTGGTGCCCTGGGCTGGGCCCGAGATGACCCTTACCACCTATTCTGGGGCCTAGGTGCCAGAGGACCAAGCTGTCCAGGAGCTCCTTTCTCCTCCTGGGCCTTAGTTTCCCCTCTGTGACTCAGTGCCCCAAGGAGAGGGGTGGCACTAGTTTGTGCTGCAGTATAGCTGTCCAAGACAAGCTGAAGCCCTGCAGCGGACTGACTGGCCACACCCAGCAGGGTAGGCTATTAGAGGCTGCTTCCCTCTAAACTGCTGCTCCCTTCAGAATTCCGAGGCTCTGGGAAAACTGAGGCCTGGCCTGGACAAGGATGCCTCTCAGATGGGGCAGCCTTGTCCCTCTGCAAGCCTCAGTTTCCCCTGTGTGCAACAGGAGTGACTGCTGGTCTCTGGAGCTTCATCCGTCTTGCTTCATTCCCAGGCTGGGGTGGGCCTGGCCCCTGCTTCTGCAGGCTGGGCTGACATCAGCCCCCGCCCCCAGGGTCCCCAGCTTTGGGGAGCAGGCCAACTGCAGAGAGATGTCTCCTTGTGCCATTCTGCCTGGGAACATGTGCAGCCCGCACCTGCTCCCTCTTGGGCACAATTGCCCTTTGAGGAGACAGGAAGTGCTCTGGAAGCTGAGTCGGTGGCAGGGTCCACAGAGGCCAGTGTGCTGCCTGGATAGAGGTGGTGGAGGCAGAGGACCCTGGGTTGGGGTTGGAGGTGGTTGGCACAGCCCTCGGCATCTGTGAGGCCAGTTCCTGTTTACGTGAGTGTTCATCCCCTACTCTTCTCCATCCTGGGACCCCTGTGAGGGTCACAGGTCTCATGCATGCTGCGGCATCCTACTGGTGACCTCTGTGTGCGTGGGTGGGGTTCATGGCTGGTGTTGGCTGGTGGGGTAGTGGCTGAGGGCTGACCTCTGTGTCCCGTACAGAGGGCACACCCCAAATCCAGAGTGCAGGTCCTCCTCACCTCCCTGCACTGGACTGCACATACTTCCTCACTGCCCGGCTGGCCTCACTACAGAGGGCACAGTCCCCTGGCAGATCCAACCTGTGACTGATACAGGAGCTCTCTGGGGAAGGAGCAAGCTTAGGGCTGGGGCTGCTCCTGGAAGGCGGCCACACTCCTGGCTTGTTTTCTTTGGAGGCTTCTTGAGTGCCCCTCAGGCCAGGGATCTATAGATAGCGATGTGTGGGGCGAGCTGTCCCAGCAGGGTGCTGATCAAAGGGAGCCCGTCCACTGTAAGACTCATCCTGTGGGTGAGGGGACAGCGACCTGCAAAGGTTTAGGAAGTAGGATGCCCCCCTCATCCAGGAAAATTGCCCACTAGTCCACCCCTCAGCTCTCCCTAGCCTCCTCCTCTCCAGACAGAGAGGAGTCAACAGGGTCCCCAGAGTGATCTCCACTCCCTGTCCTGCTCCCCTCTGCTGGGGGTCAGGACCTCTCTGGCCCCCTAGGACCATCTTGCTGTCCCTGTACCCGACATTGTCCTGGCTGTCAGGCTCATAGGGGAGCCACTACCGGCAGCTGGCAGTGAGCATCCACCTGGCCGATCTCCTGTGGCTGAGGATGCCTTGAGGGGCCTTGTATTTAGGCCCCTCTGCTGCAGACCCTCTGAGGCATCTTCTGGGTTTCTGTGTGTGGTGTGTATGTGTGGTGCTGCACATTTGTGTGTCTGCTTGTGGTTTCCCTGGGGTCGTGCCCCTACCCTACGTAGGAACACTGAGCTCTACCTTGTCTGAAGCTCTGGGCCCTCAGCTAGCCTCCTGCTGGGTTCTATGGGGACAGGCTGACAGGGTCTGGGCATGGCACGCTGGAGAGAGGAGGGGCAGGGTGCACAGCCCTCAGGCCAGGGGCCAAGACAGGATCCCCAGGCGAGCATGGTGTGGGAGATAAGCGAGTGCAGAGGTGGCCTGGCTTGCCATGACCCTTACCTGCGCAGCATGGACACCCCCCGTGCCCCTGCGAGGACCGTGCTGTTCCGGCGTGAGAGGACAGGCCTGACCTACCGCGTGCCGGCGCTGCTGCCCGTACTGCCCGGGCCTACACTGCTGGCCTTTGCTGAGCAGCGGCGCAGCCCCGACGACTCGCACGCACACCGCCTGGTGCTGCGGCGCGGGGCCCTGACGGCTGGCGCCGTGCGAGTGAGTGGGAGCAGGGCGCTGGTGCGGGGGGTGGCGGAGCAGGGTGCTGTGGGGTTCGCGGCGTGGGGGCTGGCGAGGTCCGGACCCTGAGTATCTGCGGCAACCCCTCTCCTCTCCCACAGTGGGGCGCCCTGCGTGTGCTGGCGACGGCTGCCCTGGAGGAGCACCGCTCCATGAACCCCTGCCCGGTGCTCGATGCGGGCTCTGGGACCGTCTTCCTCTTCTTCATCGCGGTGCTGGGCCACACGCCCGAGGCCGTGCAGATTGCCACCGGCAGGAACGCGGCTCGCCTCTGCTGCGTGACCAGCCGCGATGCTGGCCTCACCTGGGGCGGTGCGCGGGACCTCACCGAGGAGACCCTGGGCACCTTGGTGCAGGGTAGGTGGGCCAGGACCAGGGCTGCGGCCTGGGGCAGGGGTGAGGGAAATCGGCCCAGCCTAGACAGTGCAGGATGGGGGGCCAGGTAGGGCGAGGCTGGGCCAGGGGAGGTGCAGGGTAGACAGGGGGTCACCAGGGCAGGGCCAGTGGCAGGTACGGGTGGGCCAGAGCGGATCAGGCTGGACATGGCCTGGGACATGGCCAGGGCCAACAGTGTTGGGTAGGAGGGTGCAGGGTGGCTGGGGCCTGGGCTGTCAGGAGTCTCCAGTCTGCTTCCCATCCCCAGCCTCTTGCCAAATGTGACCCCGCCTCCTTGTCCCAGGGCTGCCTGGCAGATGGAATGGGTTGCGTTGGTCTTCCACCTTTACCACCTGGGGCTCTCAAGGCACTGTCCTCTTCTTGGGCTTGTCTCTCTGCAGAGGAGAGTGGAGAACATGGAGTTCTCATACCCCAAATCTAACGGCCTCCCTGTCTCCTTTACCATTTCCTTTTCCCTCTTCCCTTTCCTCACCTGGCGTGAAGGGCCCTGGCCAGGGCCTTGGGGCTTGAGCTTTTCCCCACCTGTTACCCCCTCCTTAGTCCAGGAGCAGACTGCCCATGGCTGTCCACAGTTACTCTGACCCCTGCTTGTGGGCTCTGGCTACCCAGCCCCAGACATGGGCACCACACCATGGTGTGGGTGGACACAGGCAGGATGCAGGGCTGACCCAGATACCTGCAGTGAGGTCTGTACACACCTACCTGCTCTCTCCAGGCACTGCTTGTGGCCACCCACTTGATTTGGGTGGCAGAGTGCTGTACACTAGGATGGAGCTGTGGGCTTGGTGCTATGTGCTTGCCTAGCACATTTGAGGCCCTGATTTCTATCCCTGGCACTAAGACATAATCACACTTGGCCACATGGGCTCCATGACCCCATGGACAGCCCCACAAGGCTTGTCCAGCCTGGGAGGCTCAGGTCACGTGTAGAGCCCCAGTCAGTGGCACTGGCTAGACTGCATGTCCCTCACTCTAGTGTGGCCCAGGTTTCCCCCTCTTGGGGTTCCAGCAGCCCCTCACTGTACACTTCCTCTCTGCAGACTGGGCCACCTTTGCTGTGGGCCCAGGCCATGGAGTCCAGCTGCACTCAGGTCGCCTGCTGGTACCTGCCTACACTTACCGTGTGGACCGCCGGGAGTGCTTTGGCAAAGTCTGCTGGACCAGCCCTCACTCCTTTGCCATCTACAGTGATGACCAGGGCCGCACCTGGCAGTGTGGGAGCTTGGTGCCCAACCTACACTCAGGCGAGTGCCAGCTGGCTGCAGTGGATGGCGGCTTCATCTACTGCAATGCCCGAAGTCCTCTGGGCAACCGTGTGCAGGCTCTCAGCCCTAATGAGGGCACCTCCTTCTTGCCTGCAGAGCTTGTACCCACCCTGGCAGAGACTGCCCGAGGCTGCCAGGGCAGCATCATAGGCTTCCCAGCCCCGGGCCCTAGCAGCGAGGAGGGCTCAAACCCTCCGTACCTCCGTTCTAGAGTCCAGGAGTCACTCAGTGGGACCTTCTACCACCCACCACCCTGGGGGCATAGTCAGGAGCAGCCTGGCCTAGAGCCTGGGCTTGGTGAAGATGGGGGAACCTATGCCTCAATGCTGCCCTTGCCCTCTGTGGCCCCACTGCAAAGGCCCACATGGCTGCTATATTCCCACCCAGTGGGGCACAGAGTGCGGATCCGCATGGGCATCTACTTGAGCCGGTCCCCCCTAGACCCCCAGAGCTGGACAGAGCCCTGGGTGATCTATGAAGGTCCCAGTGGGTACTCTGACCTGGCGACCCTGGGGTCTGTGCCTGGCACAGCCCTAACCTTTGCCTGTCTATTCGAGAGTGGGGCCCGGGCCTCCTATGAAGATATCTCCTTCTGTATGTTCTCCCTGCAAGAGGTCCTGGAGAACGTGTCGGGGGGCCCTGAGTTGCTCCGTCATGGGAGCAAACCCTGGGAGCGCTGCCGGCTCTCCTGATGGGGCCAACTGCAGGTACCTGCCCAAGGACAAATGGACTGAATAGAGGGAGGTGATGAGTAAGAGGCCATGTGACCCCAGGAAGGATGGAGCCCTGTGCGAGCTTCTCCATGGGTTGCAGAGGTGATCTTGGTAGATGGCCTGCTCCTTAGGAAGGTGGGGAGGTTAGGACCTGGTGGGGTGGAGGCACTGGCCAAGTGGGCTCCTCTAGTAAAGCTATGAAACCCACCACAGTTCCAGGGTTGGGCAGTGGGGCCTCATGAGCCCAGCATACCCCCTTGTCTGCAGCCAGTTTTTCTCTGGCTACTTCCTGGCATTTGAACAACAAATAAAGGGATTGTGCCTGTATCCGAGTGGACAGTTCTTCCCACATCAAAACCCAGAGAAGGCCCAGTACTCCAGTGTGCTTATCTGACTCCTGCCCCAAGTCCCTTGCCCTAACCACCCCCTCCAGTGCTCGGTACAGCTGGCAGAGGTGAGGATGGGAGAAGGACAGGACATGAGGCCTCCTCTGTCCACTGCCTCCTTGGTGCCAGCCCTGTCTATCTGGGATTGGCTGATGAGCGACGTCTACACAGCTTTTGAACTTCCACCTGTGGAACAATGGGGTCCAGGGCCCTGAAAAGCAAGCTCTGGGTGGGTCTGGTCTGCACCTGCAACTCCTCAGTGCCTGCAACTGCCTGTGACCTCAGCCAAACAAACCACAGGGAAAGAACACCTGAGCTCCTCTAGTAAAGCTGTGAAACCCAAGGCCAGAGCAAAGCCCAGAATGGGTCACAATGGTAGATGGTGAGGGAGGGCAACTCCTGCAGGGAGCAGACTTCTAGCAGAAGCAATGGGGAGGGAGGACAGCAGAAAGGAATCTTCAAAGGTACTGGAGGAAAATGACCATACCAAAAAACATCCTTCAAGGCCAAGGCAAAATGATGGCATTTGCACACACAAAAGAGGACCTGGGTTTATCATGAGCACAGTTCGATTAGGGGAGTGTGAAAAGTGTCTCCGGAGGGTTGGCCACATGGATATGATCATAGCTATGCTTTTAGGTCTCACTGCACAGATTTAAATGCACAGTGGCAAAAAAGAGCACCAGGTGGAGTGGAGAGAATAGAACTAAAATGCTCTAGATCCTGGTACTGTCCAAGAAAAGGTGAAAATGTAGTTTATGTCACCAAGGGACATATGAAGAAACATGTAGAGCTAGTGCTGAAGGACAGAAGACTGTGTGACCCTACATTGCAGAGGAGATGTGTGGGAGGAGAAGGCACAACTTAAAACGGGATGAGGGGAATGTACCTGGAATGAGAAGGCAAAAAACAGCAAATACTGAGGCAACTAACGCAACCCAAACATATTGGAACTAAACATAAATTGACTCATATTCCAGTAAAAAGGCAAAAATGGCTATGCTGGGAAAACCCAAAAATACAAAACAAATACAATTATACTCCATGACAGCAGACGTAGATGTGCACAGAGACGCGAAACCCTGGAGGAAAGGGAGGCAGATGACTCCAGCAGCCAAAAACTGTTCAGAAGGACTGTTCACAGCTGCAGCAACGTAAGTTCCCACGGAGTTAATACTGTGCTCAAGAGTAGAGAGCAAAAGTACTTACTGGGTGTCTTAGTTACTTTCCTTGTTGCTGAGACAAAATACCCAATGCCCACAAGTTAAGGGAGGAAATGTTCATTTGGCTCACAATTTGTAGAGGTTTCAGCTCATAGCTGACTGACTCCAAGGCAGGATGGCACAGCATTGCAGAGGAGAAACGGTTCATGGTGGGCAGAAGGTAGCAAAGCAAGCAAGGGATAACCACAGCTCTTTCTATCCCTTATATCTTATCCCTTATATCTTATCCAGGCTGCTTGGGGCGAGTAGCACTCACACCCCTGATCCTAGTACCCTCGATCTTAGCATTACACCAAAAATGAATTCCAGTGTCACACACTCTAGATGCAGCCATCTCTGAAAAACCCCCACCTATGACTGGATGAGCCTTTGTGGGGGCATCTAGGCACAGCCATAACACAAGGGAAATAGGCAGATTCTCATTTGTTGTAGAAAGTTTACAACTCAGGACTCTTTGTGACTGATAGCAGACAACAAGAAAATCAGTTAAAACAGAAGGTTGTGCCTGCCTGGGGCCACCAGCTCACTGACGTGGTGGGTAGAATTCTGCACAAAGCTGTTGCTGCCTCAACGCTTTTCCATTCAGCAAAGTATGAGCGCTGGCGCTATGTGGGGCCACACAGCCAAGTCTCTGCAAGTTTCAAAGGATTGACAAGTACAGTGAAATTGAACTAGAAATAAAAATGAAATGAAAGAGAATTGAGCATCTTCATGTGTTTAGAAATAAAAAATACGATTCTAAATAACTTGTGGTTCAGAGAAGAAGCCATAGTGGAAATTAGAAAATATTTTGAGGTTAATTATACAAATACTACACAAAAATTGTAGGATGAAACCAAAGCCAGGCTCAGAGGGAAATATATAGTCTTAAAATGTGTATATTATTAAAAAAGGAAGGTAATCTTTGGTTTCAGGAAATTATAGGAAAAACAGCAAGTTAAATCCAAAGAAAATAGAAGGAAGAGAATAATGAAGATTGGAACAAAATAATGACACTGAAAAAAAATCATAGAGGAAATAAAGTCCAAAATTGTTTTTTATTTTTTATTTTTTTTCTGGTACCGGGAATCGAACTCACGACCTTGCACTTGCCAAGCAGGCACTGTGCCACTGAGCTAAATCCCCAGCCCCCAAAATTGTTTTTTAAAAGACAAATAAAACTGATAAGCATTTGATGAGGTTGCTCATGAAAACACACGCACGCACACACACCCAGGGACAAACAGGGCATGGCAGTTTCCTGTCTGTAATCCCAGCACTCTGAGAGGCTGAGGCAGGAGGATTGCAAGTTTGAGCCCAGCCTGGGCAACTTAATGACTCAGTGAGATCCTGTCTTAAAACAAAAAACAAAAAGGACAGAGATATAGCTCAGTGCAAAGGCCCTGGGTTCTACCCTCAGTACCAAAAAACAGAAAAAAACCCCTAGTGCCAGGAATGAGAAAGTGTGTACTGAAGATCATACAGAAGGTCAAAGATTTCAAAAAGTCGTCAAGAGTAACTTTATGTCAATAGACCTGAGAATTTAGATGAAATGGGAAATTCTTAGAAAATATGACATCAAAACTGATGCAATATGAAATAGAAAAACTAAAAATTTTAAAGAAATTGAATCCATAATTTAAAATCTGACAACCCCAGGTCTAGACATCTTCTCCAGTGAACCCTGTCCAACACTGTGGGACAAAATCCCATCTCAGGCATCACAAGGACTGCAGAGGATCTCTGCCCCTGTGCAGGTTCCCGGGTGCCCATGGCACCTTCCTTCCTGTTCCTGAGGACATGCATGTCACTCCCCTGGGAGGAGAGGACACCAGAGAGCTGGAGCTATTAGGTATGCTGGTGGGGGGAAGGGCTTATTCCCTGGAAGAGAAAATTGATGAGAAAAGTTGACATGGTCTTCTAAAGAAAGTGAAAAGACAGGTCACAGACTGAGAGAAAATCTTCGGAAAATCTGAATCTGATAAAGGACTAGTATCCAAAATACCAAGATAACTAAATAAAACAAAACAAGACTCAACAATGAGAAGATAAGCAACTGATTGAGAAGTGGACACAAGCTCCAAACAGACACTTCACCAACAAGGATGCACAGATGATCAGTACAAGCATGGGCATCTTGGGTTGTTGAGGAAAAGGCAGCAGAACAGGGAGAACAGCCAGAGACAGAGCCTGGACCACACCCAGTGCTGGGCCCTCTGGGAGGTGGGGTGCAAAGAGAGGTGCCTTGGTGGGCAGTGGCTGCTTCTTAGAAACTAAACTCACTTTGACCATAAAGCTTGGCAATTGTGTTCCTCAGGTTTACCCAAATGATTGAAAACTGAAATCCACATGAGAACCTGCACATCATGTTTATAGGGACTTTATTCACAATTGATGACATATGGAAGCAACAAAGTTGTCCATCAGAAGCTGAGTATAAACTGTGGTACATCCAGACAGTGGAACATTATGCAACCCTAAAAGAAGGGAACTGTCAAGCCATGCAAAGACAGGGAAGAAATTAAAGTGCATACTACTAAGCGAAAGAAGCCATCTGAAACACGTGATTCCAACTGAGTGACATTCTGGAAAAGATAAGGATTAGGGCTCAGAGAGGGAAAGGTGAGGGTTAGCAGGGCTGTGAAGCTCTTCTGTGCTGCATGGTGAAGCACTGGTCATCACAGGTCTTCCATGACTGGCAGCATGGGCTCCTTGGCTGCAGCCAATGCCCCACACCAGAGCCAGGTGCCACCACTGCGTGTCTAGGGCAGGGATGAGGGACACCTGCTTCCCTTTCAGCAAACCCAAAACTATTTTTAAACAATAAAGTATTAATTGAAAGAAAGTACAACTATGAAAGCTCTACACATAAGAAAAGAGAAAGTGGATGACAATATTTGCATGATCTTGAGACCATCTTCATGGCTATGGACTGGTGACATGTGACCAGCAGTGGGGCCTGGGCTGAAAGCACCTTGCCCTGGTACCAAATTGCCCAATAGGAGCCCATGCCGTACCTGGGAACCCACATGTGGTCATCCAGAAGCCCCTCCATGGCTTGGAGATGAATGAGGAAGTCAGCAGACTGGAGGGTAATCAGATCTGCTCACAGATGGTCATGTGTCTGCACCCAGTAGAGGGGGCAGCCTCAGGGGACCTTACCTGGCCCAGAATCTGACTCTATCTTGTAAAACTGAAACTCTGTTCCCAGTAATTATGAATGTTGTGATTTCTGTCGAGATGTCTCCCCAAATCCTCATGTACCGTTAGATGGGGATTTTTGGAGGCAGCTGAATCTAGAGTTTGTGATTGTTTAGTGCAATGGTGGGATTAAGGGTGCTGGGATTAAGGGTGGGATGATGTGGGATGATGTCACACATGTGCACCCCTTTGGGCCAGCTTTCCTGAGATCCCCCTGGTGAGTGAGGCAGTTGGGCTGGGGTCAGAGGATGCAGGGAAAAGGTCAGGACCATTTACAAGGGAAACTTGTGTGGGCCAGCCATGGGATGGTTGCCACAGGTACACAGCCTGCATTGGCCCCTGGAGGATCTTTCACATCTCTGCAGAAACTCAGAAGCTTCCTGGGGCAGGGGGCAGAGGGTTTCCTATACCAGGCAGAGACTAACCCCTCCCTTCCCCAGAAGCCTTGGGACCCTGGGGTGAGGCTGCTTCTCTGAGATTTGACCGCCCTCAAACCCACAGGGCAGAGATCTGGCCACACCTGGGCTCTCCTGCAGTGGGCAGCCCCTGTCAGTCCCTGTCAGAGCAGGGCACCCAGGGTGGTGCGGGAGCAGCGTGGGAAGGTGTGGGAGCAAGTCCCCGCCAGGGCCGTGACACAAGCACCCAGGCAGAGTGAGGGGACGGAAAAAATGAGTGCGAGGCGGTGGCTGCTTTACGGGAAGGCGGATGCGAAGTGCTGACTGGCCCGCGCCACTTTCTCGGTTCTTATCTGAGCCACTGCCACCAGCTGGTGGCCTGGCCCACCAGCACCACCGACCGAGTGCCGAGTGCGGGCGGATGGCTCTGCGACCACTTCCTCCCTCCCCGCCTTGCTTTTTCTGTTGAGTATCGATTTGAACTCATGTTCTTTTAAACACAAAGTGTATTAAACAATTAGATTTTTTTTTTTTTTTTTTTTGTGGTTCTGGGGACTGAACCTAGTGCTTTCTCACTGAACTACATCCCCAACCTGTTTTTTAAAAAAACTACATATTAAGAGAGATCACTCAGTTGCCCAGCTCAGATTTTCCATCCCTCATCTCAGGCTCCCAGAATGCTGGGATTGTAGCCACCAACCACCATGCCTGCCCAGCAATTTTGCCATTTTTGACACTCAATTCCTTTGTCTTTTTGACATGATCCAACTTGTATCCCTGTCCTGGGGATGCTGAGGTGCCACTGCCACATATCCCACCCCCTCAAGTCCAGACTAGCCTGGTTCCACTGTCAGGCAGGTGCTCCACACTGCAGGGTCCCCAGCTGATGGGGACTTGGGCCACTGTGCATGGGGGTCAGCTCTGGGTGACTCTGCCCTGGCAAGCCCAATGCAATGAATCCTTGTGTGTCCTGTCACTTCACAGTGCTGCCAGTGACACCAGGGATGTGTTTCTATGGAGACTGGTAGAACCAATACAGCTTTGGCAACATGTCTTGTTCCTTCCAGACTTCTGCCAGTCTGCCAGGAGCAGTTTTAATATGTATTTTTTCTTACTGTTATCATAGACAGCTAAGTTATATAGACATTAACAGGCAGGAAGAGGGGTCAGGCCCTCAGTGGAGTCAGTGCAGAAGATGAGACACATCAAATTGTGGCTGGAGACAAATTGGAAGAGAGCCAGTCCTGCAAGCCTCCCTAGAAATAGACAGCAGCTTGAGATAATCAGCACCACTTGGTCCAGGGAGTTTCTCAATAAACTTTCCTATTCTTAACTTCTTTTGTCCTCATATCCATTTTTCAGTTATCCTGACACAAACTTGGCATATTTAACATCTATCAGGTTGGGAGTCATTTCCCCATGACATTGAGTAAAACTGGACATCCTTCTACTGCTTAGGGATATCCATGAACATGTGAACACACAGGTACACATGCAGCATGTGTACACACAGCTATGTATGCAACATGCATGCACACATATATACACAAATGTGTGCAACATGCATTCATATGTGCATACACAATCATGTGTGGAACATGTGTGTAAACACATAGGTACATATGCAACATTGTGCACATGTGCATAAGCAAGGCATGTATGAAACACACATATGTATGCACACAGATATTATGTAACATGCACATACATATATACACACATGGATACACATGGATATATATGCATGTGTACAGATTTATGGATGTGTACACACACATTTTTGTGAACTGTTGATTACCTCTGCTCACTTTGGATGTGGCGCAGATTTTTAGATCTTTATATAATTTCTATTTAGATCTTTGTGTGATAGTGCAAATATTTCCCCTCAGTTTGCTAATGATTTTTTCCCCATGCTGAAGTTTTTGTTTTCCTATTTGTGGGGCTGAATACATCATCTTATCTGTCATCCTTTGGTGGAGTTTTTGGTAGCCAGGTTCAACTTGTGGGTTGAAAAGTCTGCATTTTCACACCCCTTGTTTCCTGGAGGCTCCCTGTGCACACTGTCCTGCTGTGTTTGGGAGGATGCAAGTGTGGTGCATACAGGTGGGCCTTACTGAATCCTTTCAAGTGGCTGCCTTGCTCTCAGCACGCTTATGAGGGCATCTGCCCTCCTCCAAGTGGGATTATGCACTCAGCTACCTGTCTCCAGTGCTGATCCCCAGAATCTCCTGGCCCCACAGTGGTTCTCCTTTCACTTCTTCACACGGTTTCCTGGTTATAAATGTTGTAGAGATGTTTCAGTTCCAAGCCAGGCTTGGTAGTGCAAGCCTTTAACCCCAGCACTCTGGGAGGCTTGAGGCGGGAGGATCACAGGTTACAGCCCAGCCTGGGTAACTTAGTGAGGTCTTGTCTCAAAAAATAAAAAAATAAAAATAAAAAAGGGCTTGGGGTGTAGCTCTATGAAGGTCCTGGGTTTAATCCTCTATGAAGGGCCTGTACTGCAAGCAAGCAAGCAAGCAAACAAATAGATTATATTTCTAGAAAAGTGTTTATTGGGATGGTGTTGAATTTATAGTGTGAGCAGGGAGAAGTGTCTTCAACATGGAGACATTCATGTGAGTCCTCTTCTGTCTTGTGGGTCTGTCACTCATGTGTCTGGTGTCTCTCCAGCGGTCCCATCTTACACAGGGCTGTTGGAATGAGATATCCTCAGAGCCCAGGGCAGCCTTCGTTTCTGACCCTGGGTTCCTGTCTGCTGGCAGACCAGATTCTTGGTACTGGGCTTCTGTTTAGATTCCTGGGGTCTCCCTCCTGAGCCCATATCATCTGAGGGCCGGGGCTCTGCCTCTCATGTGTCATCTTGGTGGGTGCCTGTAGGACCTTGACTTCCTTGCCTGTCCCAGATGTGCTGATACCACTTTGCTCAGGGAAGCTCAAAGGGTGTAGTGTAGCAGGGGTGTCTGCCTGGCACCATTGTGGGCAGCCAAGATCCTGGTGATGTGGTGGGCTTGGAGTTTGAGTGCCTGTCTCAGGGAATCTCTGCAGAGGCTGCAACCCCTTACCATGGCCTGGAGCAGCCCACTCCCCCTATAGCAATGGCCCACACTGGGAACACTGTGTCCACAGGACCCCTAGGTGGGTGCCTGGCCCGAGCAGGTAAGATACAGGCAAATGGCTTGGGGACACTCAGTGGACACATGTGGACACCCATGCTGGCTGAAGATGCCTGGGGCTTGTGGGAGGTGATTGGATTACGGGGCTCATACGTGACTTGTTAGCTAACTTCTCAGTTGCTCCCTTGGCTCTCAGCAGCTTTTCTCTGCCAGGCCCTTCCATGGAACTTCCTGCCTTGAAGCCAGCTGACCATGGGTTCAGACCTTTAGAAAACCTGAGCCAAGCTAAGCTTCCTGTCCTTTAAGTTGTGGATGTTGAGTATTTTGTCCCAGAAATGAGGAAAGTGATTAAAACAAGCTACCTCCCCAAGCAGTGAAGTTTCCCACACCTGAGGCTGCTTGAGAGCAGAGTTGGGGCCCTGGGAGTGATGCCTCCCCTCCTTGAATCTCAGATCAGCCTGCTGCATGGCCTGCAGGCACAGGACAGGACTCGCAAAACTTTCATCATTATTTAATTATAACTCCGCTGAAACAAATGAAAGGGGCCCCTGGCCCCCCTGTGCAACTTTGTCCACCCTGGGCAGGATCCTGGCCAGGCCTTTTTAACTAACACTGAATGGGGACAGTGCCCGCACTGCCCCAGCCCCTGCCCTCTGAAACCCTCCCCTCTCCATGGCTGGGTGATGCCCTGTCCTGCTACTTATCTTAGGTAGGCAGGGCTGGGCTGAGGTGTGTGCTTAGAAGCAGGTAGATTTGAGGCTAGATATTCCCCACATGCCTTGGTTTCCCCCTGTAGAGAGGCCTGAGGAACTGCCCAGGCAGGTGTGAGGGCCGAGGTGACTCCTGCAGATGGATGAGGGTGCTGGTTCCTTTTCCTGCTCACTGCAGCCTTCTTTTGTGAAAACTTTTCCAGATCTGGCTGAGGGTGAGGATCCCGGGTCCCTCCCATGTGATCTTGCCCCAACAAAGTTGCCTTGTGTACACCCCCAGGCATTGTGCTTAGCCCATGCTGGGACCACCTTACCAGGGACAGCACCCAGGCAGTCTCTAGCCAGGGTCCCTAGAGCCCACAGGGATAGTGCCTGAGTCCCTGGCCATGTACAACTGTGGCATGCAGGAGCACAGGCCCAGCCAGCTCTGTCCTGACCAGGCTGGTAACATGGCTGTGCCTAACCTCCATGCCAGGGAGAGAGATGTGGTTGCTCCAGCTGGTGGTGAGCATTGGGACGTGCGTCCTGAGTGGGACTGGCACAGGAGCAAAGTTGTCATGGCCCAGCACCTCGCATGCCCTTCAACTGACCACCCTGCCCTGGGCTTTCTATGGAGGGCCTGTGGGATGTGGAGGTCCAAGGAAGCCAGTCAGAGGGGCCAGGAGCAGTGTCCATCCTGTTGCCTTGGAGGCCGGAGACCCTGGGAGTCATCGGCTGAGCCCCTGCGGCCTGGAGAGGAGGCACCTAGCCCTTCAGGGAAGACAATGGTGGCATACTCTGTATGCACAGAGGAGGCAGGGAGTTCTGGGGTCTTCTCTCGTCCCTGGAAGTCCAGCACTCCATAGTCCATGGTGAAGATGGGCAACGCCAAGGGGTCTTCCTTCTTTAGGGAGAGAGAAGGGGTGTTGTGCTGAGCCCCAGAAATGGCCAGACTCCACAGTCCCAATACCCTGTCCCCTTTCTAAGAGCAGCTGCACCAGGGATGCTGAGCCCCAGGGCCTGATGGCTGTCTCGTCACTGCCCCTCTCTGTGTGCAGGGACGCAGCCCCTCCTCTCTGGCTCTGTTTCCCTCTCTAAACTGTCTTGTAAAGCTTTGCAGATTTAGGATTCTGAAATATGAGTTTTCCAGTTCCCACCTGCCCAGCACAGGGTAGGCAACCTCATGGCACTCAGGCTACAGGCCTTGGGGCAGCAGGAGGAGGGCAACCAAGACCCTGCTCTGAGGGCCTGGGAAAGGCCGAGATGGAGGTGAAAATCTGGGTGTGTGTGTGCCCCTTGGCAGAGGCCAGACTCACCAGGGACTGCTCCTTGCTCCCAGCTCCTTCAGCCTCTGCAGAAAAGCACATTTGGAATCAAGTGGCTGGTGCCAGTCCTCCTCCCAGGAGCAGGGTTTTAACCAGGGACCCCATCTGGGAGGAGGCAGCTAGGGGTTCTATCAGCTGGGCCTGAAGTTTTCAGGTCTGGAGGGAGTGAGTCTCAGGGAGGGATGCCATGTCTTCCCTCAGATCACAAGATCACAAGCTTCGGTGGAGCAATGGGAGCCTCAGTTGGACAAAGATCGGCACACCTGTGCCTGCTGCAGGGACACAACCCCCGTGCCCTAGCACAGATTGTACCTGGCAACAAGTGTGTGTGGGGTGTGTTGACATAACACATCATGGTGGTCAGGATGTGTGTATGTGGGGGGTATGGTGACACAGACCCTCAGGGTGGTCAGCTATGCGGCTTTATAGGAGGAAATGTTGGGCCTTGGGCAGGAATCAGAGGTCACCAAGGGTATGGACATGGCCTGGGGTCTGAGGCTTGGGGAAAGTGGTACATCTGTGACAAACTTACCTGGTTCAGTCCTGGAAAATACGGCAGCAAGGACCCAGGCCAGCAGCAGCAGCACCGGGATACCCACGAGGACACTCATGACCCCAACAACCAGGCCTTGAAGGTGACCCACTGGCCTGGGCGAGGGACTGGGGTGCGCTGTGGGGAGCTCCAGGACTCTCTCTGGGGACCCCAAAGACAGGAGTCAGGGATTGTGGTGAGGGACTCCTCAGTGTGTCCCCACACTCAGAGACACCCGCCTTGTCCTCTCCAAGGGCAAGGTCTGTCCCCTTTGGGCCTGTGGTGACTGGCCCCTGTCCTGGCCTGCAGCTTGCAACAGGGCCAGGCACACAGGAGGCACAGAGGTTCCTGTGCTGTCCTCTCCTGTGGGCCCTGCCCTCCCTCCATCAGCTATCCTGGAGCTTCCTAGGTGAGAGGCCCTGCCCTACCTGTCACCATGAGCTCTGCCCGGCAGCTCTCCTTGATCTCCGCCTTGGGTCGCAGTGAGATGGCCCCACACAGGTAGATACCACTGTCATTTTGTTGCACGGAGAGGACACTCATCTGGAAGCTCCGTCCATCGGGCAGCTGAGCCACCTGAAAGCGTGGGTCCAGGCTGCTGTCCCTGGGGAAGGCAGCCATCTTGTCTGTCTGGTTGCTGGGGCTCAGCCGGTACCAGTTCAGCACGAAGTGCTCTGATGAGTTGGAGAAACTGCAGGTGAAGGTGGCATTTTCGCCCTCAGGCACTGAGAGCCGTGCTGGGGAGAAGGAGGGGCTGCAAGACCTGTCTGGGGTCTCTGAGAGGGGAGAGAGAAAGGGATTGTGAGGAGGTAAGGAGGGGGTGGGTGGTCAGGCAGGCCCTGCATCTCTCCTGCATGCCTCACCCCATGGCAAGACTTTTCTTTGACTCTGTCTAGTGTTCCAGTCCTGACTCGGGGTCCAGAGTCATTCTGAGGACTTCAGCCTCCTTCCCTTTTGACTCCAGATTGCTGCTCCCAGGCAGGCTGGGCCAGCCCCTACAGATCCTTGGGTGGTCCTCATGTGGGCTGGCCTAGTGCTGTCTGCCCTGCCTTTGTAGGGGAATGGTCACCAGGAAGCCAGCTGGGTAGGTGGAGGTCCTGAGGGCCTCAGCAAGGAGCAGGGAGGCAGTGGCAGGTAGTATAATGTAGGGCTTGTGTCTCCCAGCAGGACCTTGTACTAGAGGTCACAGCATGGGATACAGAGGCCAGCTGGGACACTGCTCCACAAGCAGACAGAACGGAGCCTCAGGCCGGGCCTGTCAGTGCCACAGCAGCCAGGGCCCTGCTGTGGCACTGCGTTCCTCATCTTGGCTCAGGCCCAGCTCCCTGATGTATGAGTGTTCACACACAACCTGCACTTACACATGGCCTCTACGCTCAGAAGCCCCCAGCGGGCTTTCCCCTTCACAGGAACATAGAGGTAGACATCAGGGCTTGGGGTTTGGAGCAGGCAGCCTCATGACCTGCTGCACTGGGCTTTACCCCAGTAAGAGCCTTTACAGTGAGTAAAGGTTCACTTTACAATGAGAGCCTCCATGGGCTCAGCACTCTGTCAGCCGCACCTGAGGTTCCCCATGTCACATGGGAAACGGGAGGCTGTTCTCAACCCTACTAGGGACCCCTGGGGGCTGGGTAGCCATATAGCAGCAATCTCCGTAGCATCCGTCCTAGGACCTAGTGTGTGACTGTGGCCAAGGCCGACATTTGCTTCCCTTTCTGTGCCTGCCCCTCGTGTCTGCTCTACACATCGCTCCTTCTTTCCCCCCTTGCTGTTTGGCCTGGCTCCATCCTGGATGACAGTACTGGCTGGGGCTGGTTCCCCACATGGTGACAGGAGCAAGGCTGTGGTTGCCATGGTTATGGGTCCTCTTCCAGGGACAATGGGACCTGTGGAGACAGCTCAAGGACCAGCCTCACAGAGAGGGGCTCATGGATGTTGGAGGCCGGTGCTCCTGCTCAGGAAGGAAGAGGTTATTTGGAAGGATCTGTCCATTGCCAGTGGGGATTGGGGGGCCCCAAGTGGCAGGTGGGCTGCGGAAGAGATGCCACACTCATCCAGCTCAGTTTCCCTCCTTCCTGCCACCTGCCTGTGATGGACAGACAGGGATGGGGGCCATGCAGGGATTGTGCCCTGTAGCAAGTTCCTCATGCCTTAAGGGCAACACAGACCCCCGAAGTCTACAGCAGATCTTTCCTCTGCCTGTGACTTCCCACCACACATAGCTAGCAGGTCACACCATGTTGTCCAACATGTCATATTGGGAATTTCCATTGACAGTGCCAGCAGGCATCTTATTCACATAGTAATTCAAGAAACACAGAAGACTAAATGAAAACCTCCAGTAGCCCAGCTCAGTGATACATGCTGGCAATCCCAGCTACTCATGGGGCTGAGGTAGGAGGATCACAAGTGCAAGACCAGTCATAGAGTGCTTGCCTGGCATGTTTGAGGCCTCAGTTCCACCCCTAGCAGGACGTGAAGAGGCTGAGTCTGGCCAGTTGGGATGGTACATTCCTGTAACCTCAGTACTTGGGAGGTGGAGGCAGGAGGATCACCAGGAGTTCTAGTCTAGTCTGGGCTACATACTGAGTTCAAGGCCAGCCTGCACTACAAAGAGAGACCCTGTCTCAAGAAAGAAGGGGACAAGTCAGGGAGAGGCCAGCCATGGTGAGCGCTGGGGCCCTGGGATGCAAGGATGCCCGGATGGATGGATGTCATCCTGTTTTTGTCCTTATAGTGTCCCCGCTCATGTCCTGCAAGGTCCAGAAAGAACCTGGGCCCTAGGCTGGGTTTCCAGGCTAGGCTGGTGGCCCAGGGATAGAAGGATGAGGGTAGGAGGATGAGAAGGGCACACAGACAAGGGTGTCCCTTCTCCTCATGGAGGATAGTTTTACAAGGGGCTCAGAGGCCAGGGCTCCTGAACTGATGCCCCACTGTCCCAAGAATCTACTGTGGACTCTCAGAGCCATGCCCAGCTCCCCTGAAGTCTATAACCTGGGCTGCACCAGACTTGGTGTCTCTGGATCTGTTGTGTGGCCATTTTGGCTTTGGGCCTGACATAGCTCTCCCACCCAGCAGAGGCCGCTTGAAGGCTGCACCAGTGTGGCAACATCTGTGGTCCCCTCCTCTTGGGCTAGAAACCCAGGGTCCCCTCCCAAGCTTTCCCACTGACCCCCAATCTGGACACACAACTCTCTCCTCCAAGTCCATTGCTAGGCCTGGGCCCAACTATCAGAGCCTCCAAACAGATCCCTACACCCTCAACACCAGATGACTGGAGAGGTCCCTGGGGGTCAGAAGAGGGCCCCACCCCAGGGAGTCCCAGGGCAGTGTCCTCTTCCCTCCTGCACAGGTCCTGCCCTCCAGGTGGGCTCTGGCTGCCCGATCAGCTCTCTTGGCCCTGGGGCTGGTCCTTACCCTGTCTTCATGGTTCTGGCCCTTGCCCTCCAAGCCTGAGTGGTCATAGTTAGGTGGCCTTGGCTGCCCCTGGGCTTTCCATTGCACCCTTATGTGGAACCCTCTCTTGTGGGTCTAGGCCCAGCACACTCCTTCCCACCCATTTTTCTGTTTGGATCACTCTGTCCTTCATGCAGTGGGCCTTGAACCAGGACTCTGGTACCAGGAACCGCCTGGGGACCCCTCAGGCTGAGCGTCTAGGTGTTCCCTTGCCCCTTGCCTGCTCGCTGAGGGTAGGACTAGAACATGGTAGCCCCTTACCTGTACCAGGACTACTACCCAGGGAGCGCAGTATGGGGATGCAGAGGGGACACTTGCCTCCTGTTCACCCCAGCCTGTCCAGACCCAGACCACCCTGCCTGGAGCTCCCACTGAGGGCCAGGCTGTGATTTAATGTTTTTCCAGAGTTCAGCGCTAGACTCTTAACCACCAAAGTTATGTGCCAATAGTGCCTGGAAGTGGGCCCTTCCTTAGACTCCCAGCTTCTAGAATGTGAGTGGAATAAACTTTTGTTCTTTATATAGACCTGTTATGTTCAATGACAGCAACAGAGGTGGAAATAGACACAGACAGCCATCTCCTCCAGGAAGCCTCCTGGCTTCTCAGCAGGTCAGGAGTCTCCCGGAAGGTAACATTCAGAAGTGACTGCTGCTGGTTCCTGGGGAAAGTGAAGTCTGGGGTATTTCTTTGCCACTCTGTTGCTTTCCCTGGGAGCCATGGAGGGGGCTGACAAGCAGACATTGTGTCTCAGACCAAGAAGGGGGAGGCTCAGAGGTGACATCAGAGATGACAGGACCATCTGGAGGTGTAAAAGCATTGCAGATGGGCTTTTGGGGCTCCTGGTGACCCAGCAGCTCTCTTGAATATCCTGTGCCCAGAGCAGCAGCCCAGCAGGGAGAACCAACTTGAGAGATGCTCCTGATCACTGTGGGTCCCCGGGGTACTTCACAGCCCTGGCTGGGAGAGGAGTGGGCTACACTGTCTATAGCCAGCACACAGGGGGTCCTGTGTTCTGCAATAAAGGGCATGGGTGGAATTGTGCCCCCAAACTGGTGTATAGGAACTGCACTTCAGAACCTTGGGGCCCCTGACCTCACTGAGAAGAGCGTGGCTGTGATGGGATTGTTCAGGAGGATGTCATACTAGAACAGGGTGGGCACAACACTGGGAAAGGGGCACAGGTGCGTGCATGGGGCGCACACACACACAGACACACAGACACACACACACACACACGGATGAGAGCCGAGTTCAGGGAGATACTGCTGCCAGCCAAGAACTCCAAAGTAGCCGGGAGCACCCCATGAACTCCTTGACCTCCTCCAGCCTCAGAACTCCAAGGTGCTGCCTTCCTGGCTTTGTCACAGCAGTTGATAATGTGAGTTGATAATGTGCAATGCAATGTCAGAGGCCCAAATCTACCCAGGGCAACTTCTTTCTGGACACAGGCCCAGGTCTTCCTCCCATTCCAAGCTGCTGGGTTTGGGGTATCTCATGAAATGTAGTAAAATGCACACATAAGCGAGGGCTACCCACAGCGAAGACCAGGATAAGTATGCTAAGCAAATTCAGAAGGAAGACTTCAGGGACGAGAGGATTCCTGCAGCCAGGGTGGTGGGTTGGGGACAGGATGAGTACAGCATCACTTCACCAAGGGCCCCCCACTGTGTGAACCCCACTTGCACAGCCCGGAGTAAGGGGAGCCCAGGCCCCTGTCTTCTGGACCACCCTTCTGACAAGATGCCCATGGGCCCTGGGACCACCATGTCCAGGCTGTGTCCTCCATGGGGTCCTGGTCATGACCCAGGCTTTCTTCAGAGTGCCATCATGGAAGGACAACCAGGTCCCAGGGAGAAGGCACAGGGGTTATGTGGGGCATGAAAGAACCGAGTCAGGGAGTGGCCAGTAACAGTGGGGCTGGGTATTGAGCAGTGGAACTGAACATATTTGTCAAAGGATCAGCGGGAAAAATGAGAAATGAGTTGCTGCAAAGTTAGGCTGGCCAGCTTGCTGATAGAGCATATAATAAGTGTTACAGGAATTTTTCCTTAAAGACAAAGGCGTCCCCTAAAAGTTTGACTATTACTAACAATACAGATATGGTCTGTCTTTAAAGCAGATTTGGTTTTAGTTAAATTTTGTTTAGAGGTGTAAAAAAAAAGTAAGGCCTGGGGCCTTGGGACATGAGGACACCTGGATAGATGGGTATCACGCTGTCTAGGTCCTTGCAGTAGCTGCTACCCCCTATGTGCCCTGCCAGGCCCAGTGACAACCTGGGTCCCCAGCTGAGCTCCCAGGCCAGGCTGGTGGCCCAGGGGCAGAAGGATGAGGGGTATGGACAGGGTGGGTCCTTTCTCCTCTAGTAGATAGCCTCACAAGGAGCTGAGAGGCCAGGGCTCTGGAACTGAGACCTTACTGTCCCCAGAGACTGCTATGGACACCCAGAAATGTGCCTGGCCCCCTTTGAGTCCATACTCTGAGCAACCTTTTCCACGGCCACCAGCAGCTGCCAGTCCTGCCAAGTGGCTGCCTGGAAAACAGTGTAGACAGGAGATGTCTAGGCCCAGGGACAATGAAGTGAGGGCTGTGGTCTCCCAGAGAGGGCTGATGACCCCCTCTCACCAGGTACCCAGGGCTAGCTGAGGGGAACAGAGGTCCTGCCTGCCCAGCAGCAAGGAGGGGCCCCGCTAGAGCCTAGAGAGGGCACCTGGGTGCCAAACCCACAGGACAGTCTGGGGTGTTGGGGACTGGTCCTCACTGACAGGGACAAGAGCCCTGACTTGCCCCAGCTGGCCCCACACATCACGCGCACACCTACCTAGGAGCCATCCCGGCTTCCAGCCCAGCTGCAGGACTGCCCAGATGAGTGACCAGGGCACCTGAGAGACCCGCATGCCCAAGCGCCAACCTGCACCTCCTGTCAACGGCTGCCACCTCCTCGGCTCAGGCAGCGGAAAGGAAACTGTCCCAAGTCATGCTGGAGGGAGGGGACGTGCCCTGGGCCCCCGCCCCCTCTTCCTCCACCTCCACAGGGGCGGGGAGAGCTGCTGGCAGGAGGGGGGAGGGGAGTGCTGGGGGAGGGGAAAGCTGGGGAATGGGGAAGTGTGGAGGGGTGGAGGATGGGGGATGAGAGAATTGGGGGAAGGAGAGAGAAGAGACAAGGGAAGGAGGGAGACAGCAACAGGAGTGGAGACAACGATGGAGTGGGAGCAGCCTGCCCCAGGAAGGGTCTTTCTGGCTCTGACCCCTGCTGGGGCAGTTTATGTCCATTTCCTCACCTGTGGCTTCCTCCTGTCCCCTCCAGAGCTGCCCTCTGTGTCCCCCTGCTCCTTGATTCCTGCCTGGGGTTCTGCGCTGCAGGAAAGTAGACCTTTCCTTCCTGCAGAAGGGTACCTACCGACCCTTAGTCTGGCTGTTGCAGACCTGTTGAACCATTGGGGTCTGGTAGGGTCAAGAGTGGAGCAGCTGGGCCAGGGACAGGTTGGGTCACTCAATGCCTGGGTCCTTCAGACTAGGACCCTTCCCCTTAAAGCTGTGGAACCAGGACACTGCCCCCTCCTGTGGGCTTCCCAGATAGCCCACTGTGGCCCACTGACCTGTGCTGAGATCCCTGGCTAGCCACATCCCTTTGCCTTCAAGGACCTCACTGGGGCCCACCTGCCTCAGCCTCCAAGTGGGGAGCTTATCACAGGCTGCCCTCCCCTCGAGGTCCTGGCCATCTATTGTGAGGTAGGTGGGTCATTTCACTGCATCCCGCCTGAAAGCATGATCACAGAGTAGAAAGCAGGAGGAGTGAAACTGCTGATATTAACGATGAGGCTGAAATAAGAGATGACCTGTGGGCTGGAAACCTTCTGCCAGCTGCACCCAGGAGGAGACATGGGATGGGCCAAGGTGGGAATGAACTGAGCGTGGCCTTGATGGTGGTTGGTGTGGAAAAAGAGCATCAGCGATGGTAGTGGCATGCTGTGCCATGCACGAGGTGAATGAGGCCACTCTTGGCCGTGCACTTGGGTAATGTGGGCCTTCAGGACGTCAGGGCGCTGGCGTTGCCACAGGTTGCCAGTGGGAAGGGCCTAGGCAGGCTCTGGTCAAGACCCCTGCCCCCAGTCCCCAGCACACGGTGGAGCTTGCCTCCGTGACAGGACCCAGGGGAGGCCGGCGCTGGCTGGGCCCTCCACCTTCCCTAGCCCTTCTTCCCAACAGGAGCCTTATCCCCTCCGGACCTGGGTGTGGGGTAGCCAGACAGCACCCTGGCTAGGAGGGGGCCTGGGAGAACAGGCAGCTGCCTGGGGCCTGTCACCCTTTCAGCTGAAGCCCTGCTCAGTGCTGCCCTGCAAGAGGTTGTACAGAGGCCCCATGCACTTTGCCTGAACTCTTCAAGGATGCTGCAGAACTACAGGCAACACTATAACCAGGACATGACTCTGTTCCACTGTGTGCCTTGTGCCTGTGGGGTGAAGCACTGGAGTGAAGAGGGACTTTGGAGCCAGGCTCGCCATAGAGGCTTGGGCACCACAATGTGACATCCTGCGAACACACTGAGAAATGAAAGCTGGGGTTCACACACAGACACAGGGATGTCACAGTGGTTTTCATGATCCCCAGGACCTGGAGTCTGCCAGATGTGCTAGGGCAGGGCAGGGGTGACTAACAGGGACCATTCATACCACAGACTGCTGTGAGGACCAGGGAGCTGAGGCCCACAGCTGGAGGACCCCCAGGGGGACATGTGTGCTCAGGCCAGCCCTACAGTGTGTGCACATGGCCTCAGCTGGTGTTTAGGGAGGTTCTGAATCACCCCTCCTGCTGGGCAGTGAAAAGGCTGAGGCCCCGGCTAGAGCCCAGCTGGGAGCCTTCTGAGCCCCCGCTAGAAGTCTCCACAGGGCCTCTGACCTCCAGTTTCCAAGGCGTCAGCCTCAAAGTTAGAAACCATGAGCCAGTGCAGGTAGAGAGTGGAAAATGGGGGACAGGGGATCCCCAGTGCTCTGAGGGCAGCAGGAAGTTTCCATCCTCGGGGACAGGGACAGGCTGGGGAAGTGAGGAAACAGGGCTACTCTGAAACTGCCTCTGTGTGGCGCTACGTGGGTGGCAACAGCGCTCCAACCCGCGCCTGGGCCCAGTGAGTCCCATCCAGGCGTGGCCGCCCACAGGACACCCAGGCTGGGCTGGAGATGCAGCCTGATTCACAGCTGCCTTGAGGTTGGAACAGGAAATGGTTAATAGTGTTTGCAAATAAAAACTTTCTGTTCATCATGTGTCTGAAACATTTCCCAGAAGTTAAAGAGAGTAGCTAACGTATCTGCCAAATTAGGAGCTTAATTTTACAAAGCCAAATGGGGTGTTCCCATACTTTACCCTACAGAAGAGGGAGGGCCCCAGAGAGGAGGGAGGATAAGCGATTCCTTCCTGCCTCTCTGAAGCTAACTTCCTAGAGTGTGCTTAGTAATTCAAGTGTGGACTTAAGTTTCAGTTTTCAAAGATGTTTGTTTGTGGGTACTTGTGTATGTGTGTGTAAGTGTGTGTGTACACGTGTGTGCAGATGAGTATGCTATGTGCTATGTGCAGTTATGTCAGGACCATGGCCTCTGGGGTGGAGGTTTTTCCTCCTTGAGAGCAGGGACCCTAGGAGCAGAGTTGGGCCTAGGTCCTGCCTCCCTGGGGTCTCTGGCCCTGCAGAGCCTGGACCAGATCACACACTGGGTGTGTGGTAGTGGTAGCCCAGACATACTTGCTGACTCTTTGGGAATGAGAGGTACGTTCAGTGCCCCTATGAAGACACTTCTTCCTGCTCTTCCCTGCCCCTTTCTGCATCTGTTCTTTTGTCTTTTGTCTTTCCTGGTCTCTATCTCTCTCTTTCTTTATTTTTTATTTTAAAGTGAAAAAAACCAATAAAAACAATGATACAGAATTTTAAATCAAAATAATAGGAAATTAACAATGGTTAATATATTGTGTATTGTTATCTTCAAAGTAGTTGCTCAGATTACAAGATATAGGTATCTCTTTCTGTCTCTCACCCTGTCTCCACCACACACACACACACACACACACACACACACACACACTCATGTGCACGCACACGCATGGCAGTGATCATAGTGGGAGCAAAGCCATAGGTCAGCTGATCATCCTTGTTCTGGAGCTCTGCCTGGGCTCCAACCTCACCCTCCTCTTGTGTGTTGGGTATGCTCACGTGTGTGTGTGAGAAGGTGTGGTCTCTACCACCCTGCTGCAGAGCTGGTGCTCCCTGCGAGAGCCTCTTGTGGGCTGAGCAGTCCAGCATCCTCCGTGGCAAGGACTCTGCTGGATGGATGCTGTGCTGGCCGCCAGCGCAGGGCTGTGGCAACACACTTCAGGGAGGTGGCTGTGTCCTGTCAGCCTCTGGCTTCCCCACTGTCCCCTTCCAGCAATCACTCACACCACACTGGGGCCCAGGGCCAGTATTCCCACAGCCTCAGGGCTTCTGAGTCCTTTCCTACTGGGCATGGCAGGAACTTGCAGCAGAAGCTTGAAGCACAGGCCACAGAGTACACCAGGACTATGTCTGTGACTGGTCACTGTGCTGGCTGGCATGGAAGTGGCCTCTGTGAGGCCCATCTGTGGATCAGGATCCTGATGGGTATATGGCTGCTGCTTCTCCAATGCTGTCCTGGGTGTCTGGAGAAGTCTGGGATGCATTGTTCCGTGCACTTTTTAAGGACTGGCATTGGGATCCTCAAGGCTGCTCTGGGTAGTGGCCAGTCCCATCCCTAAGGCTTTTCCAATCATTGAGCCTGACTTGGTCTCAGGAACCATGGAGCCTGCAGAGCAACAGAGATGCTGGGCTGGTGGGTGGTGGGGAAGCATCCAGGAACCCAGGCTGAGGCTGGGGAGAGGAGCAGGCAGCAGTTGTCTCCTTGGACCCTGTGTGGCTATGACCAGGCCCTCCAGAGACCCCCACACCATGGCCTGAACCAATCAAACAACTCCATATTAGGTTTTCGTTCAGATTGCTGCAGCCAAGTGGGGTGATGATCATAATCCCAGAGAACAGTGCTTGCAGGGAACATGGCAGCTGGTGCATTCTCCCTTGAACTGGAATTCTGGAGGTAGGTGATCCAAGAGCAGTGTGGTGACACCAACTCTCATCTGGGCCCATGTTTCTGGTGCTGTGCTCCCTCAGGACTTGCTTCCTCAGGCTTCTAGCCTCAAGGGCACTCATGGCTGCTAGAGCAGTGGCCACCATCCCTCCTCTGATGCACAGAAGAAAGCAAAAGTAGAATGAACAGTGCGGCTCATACAGCTGGTTGACCCCATACTAAGGAGCTTTTCTGGGGAACATCTCAGAGATTTCCTCTCATGCTTGTTGCCACACTTAACTGCAGGGGAAGACGATGTCTTGTGTCTGAAAGGGAGCGGGAAAGAAGTTTCAGGGTGAAACATCTAGCCACAACAAAAAACTCCTTGGTCTGGATTAGCTGTAGACTGGACAAAGAGGAAGAGGGAATTGGTGAATTGGCAGGAAAATGAGAGATGACCATTCAGGGGAGAGGGTAGAGAGGTGGTGATTGGAGGGCAGGTAGGGATCTTGTGTTTGATCTGGGGCCAGAGGCAGGTGGGTGGGATTTGCCCAAGCCTTGGGAAGTGCAGATGGTTTTGGGGACATCTGTGCTAAGTCTGCATGATGATATTGTCAGGGCCAGAGAAACAAACGATGTGACCTGAGGCTAGGGCAGGACCAGAGTGGAAGGAGAAAGATCCACACAGAGCAGGTAGGCAGTTGGGCAGTCGAGGAGCGGTTAGCCTGGGCTCAGTCAGGGGCAGGTAGGGCACGCCACTGAGCATTGGTGACCTGGCCCAGGCTGGAGCAGGGGTGTCTCCTGCCCAGGGGTGGCAAGAGCGGTCCTCGATGTTAGGCAGGTTACACGGGGTCAAGAGAAGGGACCTGAGGGCAAGCTTTCCCATGGCTGCAGACCCATGCCAGGGCTGTAGGCTGTGGGAGAGAGGGCTAACAGTCCTTTTGACATAATGGGTACTGGGCAGTCACTTGTGATGATACAACACTTCAGTCACTGGATGTATGTGCCACTGAGACCTGATTTGCAGAGTGAAGGATTTTGATCTCGCTTTTCCACAGGTGTGTCTCTATGACACCTTACCTGTGAGAGTGAATGTATTTACAAGAAGGCACATGGACTGGCACAGATGCCAGTGTGCCCACTGCGTCATGCTGATTGATGATCTCTGGGTGGTGGGATCCTGGGTGATTTTGTCATGCAGTGATTTTCCTTTCTGCTTCCCGTTTCTGAGACAAATCTGGTTGCCATGGAGGCCGTGCTGTTGTCAAGGCAGCTGATTGGCTGACACTCGGGTGCAGGATGCTTCCTTGGGTCCGAGCGGGTCAGCCCGCATTGCGCAGCCCAGCAGCAGCATGGACAGGGCTGGGGTGGATGCGTGGGCAGACACCTTTGCCCAACTCATGGCCGAGAGGAAGCCCCAGGACTTCTGGGCTCTGCACCCTCAAGACAGCCTGGTCACCGGGCAACCAGACCACGATAGTCTCCAGTACTGGCTGAAGGGGCTTTCGAGGTGCGGTGAGGGTTGGGGGTCCTGGGAGTGGGAGGGGGCTGAGGGTGTCTCCCACCAGCCTTAGCTGGGTCTGGTCCCTGAGAGGGGTGGGTGTCACTGGAATCAGAATCAGGGCTTCTTTCTGGCCTGGTCTAGTCCTCAACAGGTGGGTGGGGCCAGGAGCTCTTGTCCCTTCTGGGAGATGGAGGTAGGTGACATGGAGTCTGTTCTGCTCATTCTGGCTCCTCTGGCCAACACTGTCTCAGATGTGTGGGTCTTATGTTTCCACAGCATTGCCATGGCATCTCGTGGACAGGTGAGAGCTGAGCAGTGCTTGGCCTGAGGAATTGGGGAGCCATCTCCAGTCTGGCTTTGGGGTGCAGTGGGGGGTGGGAGAGACATTTCTGGCATGAAGACAGACACTATCAGTATAACAAGGACATGGCCTGTGCCATGGACTTCTCCACTCTGCAAGTCATCCCTGACCCTGTAGGATGCCCTCAGGCTGCTGGCAGGTGTCACTGTTGGTTCCTGGGCAGAGGGGATTTTCTGCCCTTTGAAATGGCTGCCACAGCTCCTCAACATTTGAAACCCTGGGGCAGGAGCATGATGGTCCTGGCTGTTTCAGTTCTGGAATAGTGACGCTTCTCTCTGTGAGACATCACTACCTCAGAGCCCAGGTGCAGAGCTGCCCTAGAACAGTGGGGTGGGGGACGATGCAGGCTGCAAAGGATGGGAGTGGGTTTGGGAAAGGCTCCTTACTCCCTGCTCCCCAAGCTTAAGGGAGTCAGAAGCTCCCTTCCCTAGGCAGGAGCTATGTCCACATGGGTGGAGGACAATCCCACCACCCCAAAGCTCCCAGAGAGTCAGGCTTCCAGAGGCCATAGCTGTGCAGCTGTGCAGCAGGGAACACAGGTTTTTGGAGAGGGTCCCCTGCATGGCCAGGAGCTGCCAAGGATGCCCCTCAGGGCATTCATCCCAGCCCATCCTGGGGTCCTGAGCTTGGTTTCTCTTGGTTGAGGGGACAGGTGCCCAGCTGTCTTGCTCCCATCAACTGGCAAACACATGCGCTCATCTGTGGGTCTATGCCAGGCTGAACCTTCCCAGGGCTCCCAGAAATTTCCCATGCTTTGCATGCAGGTGCCCTTGACTCGATTTCCCTCAGCAGATGGGTGGAAAGTGGAATTGCCCCTTCTTTGGGGATGGGTATCTATCAAGGTCCATCCCTCAACACCCTTCCTGCTGAGCCATGGCAGGGGCCTTGTTCTCCTGTCCTGCCTTGTCCACTCACAGTGGGCTGCGTCTGATACCTGCTAACCCCAAGCCACAAGCAGCAGAGATACCTTGCAGATCTTAGCAGGTCAATCCCACGCCACTGATGGGAGGCATTTGTGCTCAGTCCCTCAGACCACAGGGCTGCAGGCAAAGGGGTGCAGACAGCAGGCAAGGGTCCCAGGGACACGGAGCTCCTGCATGGTGGGAAGAGGTGCAGGCCTGTATCAGCCCACCCTGCTGGTTGGTGGATGAGGTTTGAGGTTTGAGTGTGGGATGTGGGACCAACCAGAAGTGTCAGACGGTAGGCCAGATGGTGGGGCCCTAGCAGAGCCCTGAGGGTTCAATGTGGGGTCTCTTCACAGCTCAAGGTACCCTTCCACTCACCTGTCCCATCTCCCCACAGGCTCCAGTGCAATCGCTGCCCTTGGACCTGGGGCTCTGCCCATGTGCGCATTCTCTTCCGCCTGTGGTGGGACAGGGACCACCGCCGGGGGCATGTGAGGATGCGCCTGTGGGGCCCACAGTGCAGGCTGTGCCCACCAGATGCCCCTGGGGAATGCCAGGTGAGCCCTTCCCACATCCGGCCTCTCCTCCGAGAGCTGGTCCTGCACATCTTACGAACCTGCTATGGGGACAGCCCGGGACAGGGCTCTAAAAGCCGTGCTGGTGATGGCTGCGAGGCCTGTGATCTGGGCGTCTGCTTCCTCCAGAGAGAGCCCGAGCCCACCAGGGTGTCCCTGGCCAAGAGTGTGGAAGCCTTGGAAAGTAGGGGCTCTGGGAAGGGCAGTGAGGCCACCACAGCTGGCCAGGGCCAGCTGCTCCACCCTGGAAGCGGCCCCCTGGTCAAGCATGCCAGGGACCCCAAACCTGTCTCCATCCCCATCCTGGTGATTGACTTCATGGAGGAGCCCTTCTCTGAGGACAGCGACTTCTTTGATGAGGGTGACCCGATAGTCACCATTCCCTTCTCTCTTGTGGACACGGAGGCCAGCCATGGTCTTGCTCTTGGGGAGGTCATTGGCCAGGGCTCCATCTGCTTGGCAGGAAGCTCCGGGGCTGTGCCTGAGGGCCAGAACATCCCAGTGCACTTCAGAGCCCCCATCTTCCCTGGCCAGGGCAGCATCCTGGAGACTTTTGAGCTCCCAGGCTTCCTCTTTGGGGGCCAGGGCTCCCCACCCAGCCCTGTTGGCATTGCTAAAGGCCAGGGCCCCATCTCCTTCAGCGTTGGCTGCCTGGCTCCTGGGAATTCCTTTCCCTCTGTGTCCTATGTCATTGGCCTCCTGGCCAACGGGGAGGGCGCCATCACTCTCCCCTTATCTCTAACCAGCATCTTCAGGGGCCAGGACAGCCTCACCCGTGTCCCCGAGGGCAGGGGGAGGGGAGATGGTGGCCAGAGCTGCACCACTGATGGTCACAATTCCCCTCTGGAGACACACGCAGAGCACCGAGCTGCCAGCAAGGGCGGCCCTGCCACTTTCCCCTTCACCTTTACTGACAACGCCCCCTGCAAAGACTCTCTTAGTGACGTCGCCAAAGGGAGAGAGAAGGGAGCCAGTGCAGAAGGCCCAGGATCCCTCATCATCAGTCAGGGCTCCATCACCATCCCACCCTCAGTCCTCAGGATAGCAGGGAGCATGGGCCCTGGAGACCCCCAGCGCCATGGCTTCGTCACCTTCCACCACTACAAGAGGAGATGGCTGAGCTCTGGGTCCAGCAGGTCCATCAGGGAGGAAGGTGCCGGCCCCCGAAGGGCCCGCCGCAGGCCCCGCTCTGAGCGCCGCCAGGACTTCTGGCTCTGGGTGTCTGTGACCATCTGTGCCCTGTGGCTGCTCTGCATGTTCAAGCTGAACCTTGCTGGCCTGTAGAAGCCTGACACCCCCTCTGGCAGCCCCACTGTGACCCCCACAAACTCACCCCAGGAAAATGTCTCCACCCCCAGCCAGAAACTGGTGCCTGCTTTCCTGACCTGTGTCCCTTTCCTGACACGAGTGCTGGTTTTGTGGATGTCTACTGTGAGTGTCCTGTGAACTGTAAACGTGTGTTAAGCTCAATAAAATAAAACCAAGCCCAGAAGCTGGAGCCACCTGCGCCTTTTACTCAGAAGAGCTCAGCACCCTTGCTGTGTGGACAAAGCGTTTGGGGCAGGCCCCTTTCTGGGCTCCTGCCCACTCCAGGAAAGATTACTCCTAGAAGAGGTCACACTTCCCTTGTGATCTGCATCCCACCTAGACTGTAGGGGGAGCCCTGAAAGTGCTGGGGCACCCTGTGAGTCCATCCAGCACAGCAGCCAGGAGATTCTCCCACCTCTTGGGACCACACTCTGGTGGTCCCATTTGGGAGACCCCAGTTTCTGTAACAAGGGGCAAGGCACGTGGGGATCCCAGCCACCCTGTCCCTCCTGTCCTGGAGGAGGGTGGGGGTTGCCGGGAGAACCCAGCTCTGAGACAAGGGTGTCTTTTGAGACCGCAGAGGTTTTAGAGGGGGAAAACTGTGCTTGGGACCTGTGGTCAGGAGTCCAGTGGTTTCCATCTGACTTGGATCTCACAGTATATTTGGAAGCCCAGGGAGGTGGCCTGCGCCTTTGAGATGACCCACCAGAACCCTGAGATACCTGAGCCTGGAAGGTGCTGCCCCTGTGGGACCCTTGCCACATTGTGACAGAAGGATGGCCTGCTGGAGGGCCAGTCACTGGGTAGAGCTGGGGGCCCCTTGACCTTCTGCCAGCTGGGGGCTGTTGGACCTGCTGGACAGAGACGCACTGCCCGATCCTCCTGGCCCTGGATCTGCTCAGCAGTCCTGTGAGTGTCCCCGATCTAATGCAGCACGCAGCCCCATCTCCCCCTCCCTTACCCACCAAGCCCCCACCCTACAGTGTGCTCCCTGCCCCTGGCCGTAGGACCTGGGAGACAGTGTCCCAGTGGGCATAGCAGTCACCTCAGGGCAGGGGACCTGCCTGAAGTCACTCGGGCCCCACTCCAGTCCCCTGCACAGCCCAAGCTTTCCCGGAGGGAAGCCCACTGCCCCAGCTGGCTGTGCAGTTTAGCTGGAGACTCTGACCCCATCCTGGGGCTCCTGTGGATCCCCCGGGTCCTCACAGACTGACTACCCTCCTGCTACCTTCAACGGCGAGCTCCGGGGCGGGTGGGGATCTTCGCCCCGTGACCGCTATTGTGGGATGTGGCTCCGGGGTGATGTGGGGCTCTTCTGGAGCTGCCACCACTTGGTCGCCCGAATCCCTGGGCTCCTTGGCTTGTCCCCTGCCCCAGCTGCAGTTGATTAGCTCCCTGTACCGTCTTGGTCTCCCCAGCACCTTCTCCAGTTCTTCCCCGTGACGTTCTGAGACCCCTTCCCCAGTCCCCAAACCCCTGCCCAGCCTCTGGTCTTCAGGCCCGCACCTCTGCCCCAGCCCGGCCTCCTCTTGTCCTTTGGCGCCCTCGCGTGGCGGTGGGTGGGACGTCCTTCCTATCTGTGAGGGCTCTACGCCCTGTTTGCTCACCCTATTTTCGTGGACCTTGAGGAGAGCTCACCCCGTTAGCATCACCAGTGTCGATTTTCACTGTTACCTTCCATTCACTAGCAATTATACTAATTAAATCTCACTAGCAGAAGTGAGACCGAACGGAGCCTGCACTGTGGATCTATGGCACGTCAGCCATTTCCAGCTCTGTGTCCTCCGTGGTCCTTGTGGGGAAGTGGAGGCATAGACCCAGATCCCAGTCCTTCCTACACTGATCAGTGAGGATCCTGTGAGCACTGTGATTCGCTGTTCTGGACCTCTTGTAGAGGTGTCACAGGGTGGCTCCCATGGGAGGCAGACGCTGGGGAGAGGCCCAGGGCTGAGGTTCTGTGGAGAAAAGGAGGAGAGGATGGGATGGCACAGGCTGACAGACCCAACTGGGACCCCTGCACCATCCAGCCCCCACTACCTCAGACTGCACCTTCTAAGAGAGGCATCCCCAGACAGTCCCTGTGAATGTACCTCCATGCCCGAGCATGGTTGCCCCAAATCTGAGCAGATTGTAGCTGTTTACACAGGAGGGGAGGGTTGGCATGTCACTAGGGGCACAGGTGTGCAATCTCCTTCCATCGTGGTAGCCCAGAGGTTCTCAACACACCTGCTGTGGGGCTATGATGGTGAAAACTCACCAAAGCTCAATAGGAAAATGGCCATGAACTTAAATGTGGAGTTGCTGAGAACCATGGCATGAGTAGCATCTGCCACAGAAGTGGGAAGGGGAGCATTTCTACTTTGTGCCACCATATGACTGCTGACAGTGATCTCCTGGGGGAGACACTCGGGATGAGGTGGGCTGCTCAGCAGTCCTGTGAGTATCCCTGTGCTGTGCTCTGCTGTCTCACTCAATGGCTGGTGTTTTTCAAGGCCTTGGCCCCATAAGCAACTCAGCTCATGTGTTTAGTTAGCATGTGATCACATAAATGAGGCTCCAGTGATCTGCAAATGGGAGCTTGTGGGGTACATGTCCTGGAGTGGAGCAGGCTGCCGGAATCACTGATGCTAGGGAGATCCAGCAGCAAAGCCTTCACAGTTGTATCCTATGGAGCACCTCCATCCAGGATCACCTCACACCCTGACCTTGGAGCACCCGAGCATTCTCTTGGAAGCATGCCCTGCTATCCACACCGTGCTTCTGACCCTTGTCCTGATGCCGGGGAGCCCGTTGATATGGTTTGTGTCTAGATGTCCCCCTAAAGCCTCATGCAGTCATGGGGTGGGCTTCTAGATTTTATGATTGGTTCATGATCCAATGCTGGGATTATGGGTGTGAGTGTTACACCCACCCTGGGGTGGGTAGTTTGCATACATTGTAAGGGAGGGAAAGAGCCTTGCTCTCTGCCCTTCCCCACTTTTTGGTCTTGTTGCTTTTGCTGCCCTCTGCCATGTGCCACTCTGCCTTGGAGTTAGCCAAGTATGGACTGAAACCTCCATAATAAACATTTAAACATAATAAACATTTCTTTCCTTAATTTTGGCCATCAGGTATTTTGTCTCAGTAACGAGAGAAAAGTAACCAAGACATCCATGCTACTGGACCTTCCTATGCATGTAATCCTTGTGACCACCTTTGAATGTGAGGTTGGAGGTAGAGCAAGGACCAGTAAGCAATGGGAAGGTAAGGGAGAAGAACTGAGAAACAAGACAACAATAATGACTGTGTCAAACATCAGGAAACCAGTACATAAAAGTCACCCTGTCTCCCAAGGCCCCAGGCATGTGCAAAACCAAAAGCACGTGACCTGGCCTAGTTCAGACCTCATTTGTGTTGTGGTTTTGACTCCCTCCCTCCACAGCCTTTGACAGCATGTCACTTCCTCTGAAAGCCTGGTATGGTTATAAACTCCTCCTCCAGACAGGTGGGGGCACCAAGTCTGGTGCCCCGCTCAGCCATGATTCCTGTCCATCCTCAGCCATAGACCCTCCCAGAACTGTAGGACGTTAGCAACCCAGTGTTGCCCCTATCTACTGTGAAGTCTTTTTACTTTTAGCAAATCTTACTCCCGCTACTCTTTCTGAATATTTGCTCAGTTCTTGGTTCAGGACAACAAGAACCTGGAAACCACTTTCCCTAGAGACCTCCCCCCACCCCAATCATACAGCCAACACAAATGGGGCTCTTATTGGATGACAGTTGGCCTGAGAAGTTTCTGGGTGTATCAGTCAGGGTTTTACTGGAGAAACAGATACAACACAAGATGTACAAATGTAAAAGAAATTACGAGATTGGCTTATGACGGTCAGCCAGAGAGTTGTATGAGGAAGCGTGCAGAGAGTGTCTGCACACTGGAGGTCGAAGGAATCAGTCCAGGGTCTGGAGGTCACTGCAGTGTTCCGTGCAAGTCCGTATCAGGAAGCTGATGGATCTGCGATGGAAGGCTGATGAGTCTACATTGGAAGGCTGAAGGATCCAAGGCAGAAGCTGACGAGTCTGCACTAGAAGCCAGTAGATGACGTCCAAACTGACAGTGAAGACTGGAGATCCTCCAAAGAATGAAAGCCTCTCTGTCCTTCCTTATTTCCCTTTTATATCACAGAGGTGATGATCCACCCTAGGTTGGCTCCTCTACACCCTAGGATGTAGAATTGCTGAGCCAATTGCTGAGTCAAGTTTAGTTAAGTTTCTAAACTTCTCAAATTGAGACAATCAATCAACCACTACACTAGGCAAAGAAGGCTGAGCTCTGCTCTGTGGTCTCATCCAGGAAGATGCCCTGTGTCTACAGAGGACAAAGCTCTAGAAACGCTATACCTGGCTCCAGAACCCCAAGTCTTCATCAAGTATTCATCCCTCAGCTTTGGGCTGATAGCACCTGAGGAAGCTCAAGCTCCAGCTTTTCATTCCTCCTCCTCATTCCTCTTGCTGGCAGGGAATGGGTGTATCAGCCACCCACACCCCGGCCTGGAGCAACCATTCCTCTAGAGAGGAGGAAGGGTTGGGCAGAGGGTGCTGGGGACCCAGTGAGCTCCTACTGGACTTGGCCCAGGTTCTGATTCTTCAGATAGAAAAACAGAATATGACTAAGTTTGTAGACAAAACAACAACAACAACATCAACAAAGTTGTGTAGTATTTGTGCCGAAGATGGGCATGGGCATTGATTGGAAGGTCAGTAATTCAAGACTCTGCTTCACTATCAGGGTTACTGCAGGGAGCTGTGACAAACTGGGTTTGTTTTCTCCTGCACGTGGGAATGATGGTTTTTATTTATAGCTTGTCTGAAATGTGTTTCTGGCTCTATTGTCCCTGTATTATGATCTGTGCTGTGCATGGGTGACAAATGGGTTTCACCAAATGTGAACACCAGGGCAGAACATCTTTCAGGACAGGAGGAGCACAGGGTCCACCAGGGCACATCCTTGGGTCCCCACAGCCCTGGGGGCCAGCTCACACCTTGAGGACTGCCTGTTGGGCACAGGGCAGACATGAGCCCACAGCAGTCTGCCCTTGCACTCTAGTGTCCCTCTCTAAGCACAGGCCTGGCCATGTTGTCCCTGACCAGGACCTGCTCATGGCTTCCTGATGGCTGTGGGACACTGTCTACCCATGACCAGACTGG